CCTTTTCTTTTCCTGCACTAACACGGCTCCATCTATGCCTGGGTAGTTTTGCGTTGTTCTCCTTCACCTTTGACTCCCAGTGGCAGGCAAGCGTATCAATAGGCAGTAATTGTGGATTGTATCTTTAAATCCTAATGGGCGCGTGGTATAGAGTCTCTCTGTGCAGTTGCATTAGTTTGGGGTCCTCGGTTTTTTGTGTGGTGTTGTTTTTTTTTACGGTGATGATGCTCTCTGTGTAGTTCTTTTTCTCTCTTTGTTTGTATGTTTTTTTGCCTGCATATCATCCGCAACTTGAGTGTTTTCCAAGGGTTCTACATTCAAATGTCAATTCTTCCATTTTTCTGTGAATAGCGGTGCGCGAGAGTTGTGGAGTCAAGGGTCGTGTTCACATATAATTTGTTTGGTGTGCTCCATTACTTACTTTTTTTGCTGGTGATTATTGTTGCGAGTTGTTTTATCCTATGGTTTGTGTTCTAGCATTGTTGTCAGTTGATTATTTTTGTATTAATGTTCTTAAGTTAGCAGCACTATTTAGGCCCTGTGGCGGTTAGTCATTGGATGACTACATTTGATATATTTAGTTTGATTTGTTTTTTTTTTTTCATGTTTTCTATATAGTGTCACCTTTGTTGCCCAGGCTAGAGTGCCGTGCGTCAGCCTAGCTCACAGCAACCTCAAACTCCTGAGCTCAAGTGATCCTCCTGCCTCAGCCTCCTGAGGAGCTGGGACTACAGATGCATGCTACTACGCCTGGCTATTTTTCTCTATTTTTAGTAGAGACAGGGTCTCGCTCTTGCTCAGGCTGGTCTCGAACTCCTGACCTCAAGCGATCCTCCCACCTTGGCCTCCCAAAGTGCTACGATTGCAGGCGTGAGCCACTGCACCTGGCCTGCTCTATTTCTTAAAGCAGATTAAATGTTCTTTGGGGAATGTTTATCTTTGCAATTCTCACAGCATCAAGGCCAGTGCCTTCCTCCCTCTTGGTAGGTTCTCAGGCCCTTCAGTTAACAGGTTGATATAGAGCGAGACCTCCCTTCCCAGATGCCCAGCCTACTAATGGGCAGAAAGTAAAGGTCTTCTGCTAGCGATTCTTTCTCTAACTTCAGTAAGAAAAGTGCCCATTGAAATGTATCTGGCGGCCCACACACCCTGAGGCACAGGGTGAGGTCGTAGAGAGAAGGACTCCAAATGAGGGAGGAAGCCACTCTCACAGCGTTCCCAGGGGGCGCCACTCTGGAGAGGGCTACAGAGGGCCTACGGCACCCTGACAAGAGAGTGCCAGAACCTGGAGACCCACCCTGTCATCAGTGCCAACTTCACAAAACCTTTACGCTGTCTGAGGAAGAGGACGGTTTCTCCAGGCCGAGTCAGGAGGACTTCGGCAGCTCCACCCACCACGATAATCATGGCATTGCCTGAGCCTTTCTGGGTCAGGATGTACTTCAGAGACGACTCGCTCACTGGGCGTGCACCTGTGAAACCAAAGAGTCAAGTGTTAGAACAAACTTGGTGCCTGAGGATGGAGTAAGGAGTTCCTCTAGGCTCTTCCTGTTGGGGACTGCGCTTCTGTTTCCCGACTACTGTTGTTTCCACCTTTCGTCTTTGACCTCCATATAGTGGGTTAGCCCTGGCCTGAGGTTGGTTCTTTTTTTTTTTTTTTTTTTTTTTTTTTGAGACAGAGTCTCACTCTGTTGCCCAGGCTAGAGTGCCGTGGCATCAGCCTAGCTCACAGCAACCTCCAACTCCTGGGCTCAAGCAATCCTCCTGCCTCAGCCTCCCAAGTAGCTGGGACTACAGGCGTGCGTCACCATGCCCGGCTAATTTTTTCTATTTTTGGTAGAGACGGGGTCTCTCTCTTGCTCAGGCTGGTTTTGAACTCCTGACCTTGAGCGATCCACCCGCCTCGGCTTCCAGAGTGCTTAGGAGCTAGGGTTACAGGCGTGAGCCACCACGCCCGGCCCTGAGGTCAGCTGCTTGCTTACCTTGAGGGTCTGTGCTGCTACAGTTGTATCTATACGAGCTCTACCTACTACTACCCAAAGCCTACCACCTTTCAGATCAACAGTATTTAAGCCCAGCCCTTCCCTCTCAACCCATGAACCACAGCCATCCTCCACTCTGCCCAGGGTGACAACACTGGAGACCCTCTACTCCCACTCTGGAGAGTTCTCTGCTCTAGGGGTTATCAGGACTAGCCAACACCAACCTGCTTCCTCCCTAAGAGCAACCTGTCGAAGGGGAGCCATTGGCTGGGGTTTCTGGAGAGCAGGCAGACCCAAGAGCCTACAGAAGCCCAACTGAAGTGTAGCTGAATGATGGAATGTGGATGACATCCTGTTGTTCCAAACAGTAACAAAGTCTTTTTGTCTCTCATCTTTGCCCTGTGCTTACCTTCTATTCTCTACTGGGATGGCAGAAATTGCATCCAGGCTCCAGCCACTGAGCTCCCTCTCCAGGGCCATGCCAACCTCACAGGGGAGCAGAGCAGAAGCACCCTCCGGGACTCCAGTAGTCCCACCTCGCCCCTCCAGATAAATGCATCATACCTTCTAATGTTTGGCTTCAGATGTTCTCTGGTGTCCAGAAGGATGAATATTCACCCAGAGAGTGACATCTGTCATAGTGCCCTAGCTCGAAGCCTGGCATAGAGAAGTTGTCCTGGAGCCTGAAACTTGCCTATCCTTTATCCCAAGGGTGAAGAGGTTCCCAGGAGATGAAGGTCATGGACCAGGAACACACTAGCTAGTATGAGAGACTTTAAAATGTCTTCAAGACGTGGTGGGATGAGAGCTACTGTACAAATGACTGGGCAAAAGAAGCCAACTAACATCTCAGAAAGAGCCTGGTGAAGTTTGTCTGAGCTAACCCACTCACACCTGCTTTTCCCTGCATTTGTGTTTAATACTTGGCTTTCACCCTCTTATTTCCATAGATTCTCCTTCTGAAAGGAATCCTAGCACCTCTTATGAATACCTGTAACTTCCCCTGCTGCCCAACCAAACCCTACCTCCCAAACATTGGACATAACTTGATGCTTGGCCTCATACTCCTATGATTGACCCAGAGTGTTCTGGACTCATTTTCTATCAAGTCCTGAAGAGTGACTGTCAGGGCTTATTGGGGTTGGAGCCCCGAGGTAGGTAAGAGAATGACATTTCTTATACTCACCCAAACACATCAGAAACTCTCGCAAAATTGGCATCCAGAAGAACCCTTCCAAGGTCCCTAAGGAGGGAGTGATGGATGGGAAAATCTTAGCAAAGCCAGTGGCCTCGGTGGCAAAGTTGATGAAGACACCATAAGAGTAAAGGCCATGGGGGTGGCTGGCAATGATGTAGTTTTGATTTGGAGAAAGGTCGTGAGTCTTCACCAGCTGTTAGAGGGAGATGGAGTCAGAGCGTTGGCGGGGAAGAAGGATGAGAGGGCGTGTTCTCAAACCCCAGCAGACAGCCTAAGTTTCCATCTGGGAGCCTCAAATCTCTGTTCATTGGGATGTCATTATTGTCATGGGATTGCCAGGGGTTGCGATGGTCAGAGAGGCTGACCCGGGCTTGCCATTGCGGGAAAGGCTGCTGCGCACCTGCCCCCACCTGCCCATCCATCTTGGGCCCTTGCTCTGCCTTACGCCTCTGGGCCTTGACCTTCGCTGCTGACCACCAAAGCCTTTGAAAATATGGAGCAGAGTAGGGAGTGGAGTCTAGGCAACAGGGACTGAGGGCACCCAAAGATAGTCACCTTTACTGGGAAGTAACTTCCGAAATATTTCCAGAGGGTCCAGTTTCGTACCCAAGTCGAACGTCTACAATCTGTGGGTACAGAAGGAAGGGAAGAGCAGATGGGACATTGCCTCTCCCAGAGATGGAGAGTTCTGCCTCAGTCCTCGGGTCACAGGAGGGACCTCCTTGTCATACCTCAGAGCTGTAGGTACTGTCCGTGGACACAACCCCCAAGACATAGGAAGCCCCTGCTCCTCTGGAGCCGGTCAGAAAGGCGATACGAAAACAGCCTGAGGCTGGGGGCACCTGCCCAGAAACCTTAACCTCTTCATTCTTCCTGAGCCACATGGCAAAGACCTCTGTCCCTGCTGACCTTTGCTCTCCCCTCTCCCCCCTTTCCCCTCTTCCCTTCCTTTGCTTCTCCCTGTCTCCTTCCCTCTCCCTCCTGTGGCTCCATCCTTGGCACGGACAGGACCGCCACTCTGCCCCGTCTCTTACCTCTACTGTGGGTGTTCCGATCATAGACTATCCAAGCCCCAAGGAGCATGGTCAAGGGCCAGAACTTAGTGAATGGCAGATAGAAGAATAAAATGACGGCACAAGCAGATCCTGAGGGGACACAAAGGGTTCAAGCTTTAGTACACCTCTCACAAGGCTGATCTCTGCTCTACACCGAAGAAGTAGGGCGAGGCTGGTGTGCAACCTTGTTTCCCTCTCCCCCTCTCCCCTTACCTCCCCCCTCTACCCAGCCCTGCTGTGGTCCAGACTGGCCTCTGAGCACTCAGACCGGGGTCTCCTTGATGGCTGAGATCTTAATTGAGGAGACAGCAGAAGCATGAGGTTCTCAGAGCAGACCCTCAGGCAGGGTCCAAGGACAGCTCTGCTCGGCAAGTGGGAAGAGGAGCACTTTGGGGTAGGGGCTGCCATCCTCATTTTGGGGCCTTAGGAAATTCTTTCTAAAAGCTTGACCCTCCTTCTTTTGTTGAACTGTTAAGTCCTCATATTCCAATAGAGAGGGGTTGCCTGCAGTGTACAGGCTGTTTGATGCTGAGAAGAAAACATGGATTAAAAACTGCTTTACTGTGTTCTATTTTGCCCCATTCAAAATGTCGCAAAGGTTCAGAAAAGGAAAAAATTTATCTCTGTTAGCAAAGGGCCGCAGCAGGCTGGGAAATGCAAACATAATACATCTTACAGCAGTGGGAATTGAATTCCATTTTTAAATCTGCAGTCATGAGAAAGAGAGGCTAAGTACACATATTGTGAATAAAAAAAGACCTGGCTGAGGGAATGATTTCTTTGACCAGGTACCACATCCTGGCACATAAAAGTTTCAGAGAAGGGGAAGAAACTCAAGAGTTACCTACCATCAGGTTTGTCTCTTGCATTTTGGACATACATGAAAATGGCAGGAAAAAGACTGAATGGCACTGCTTTCAAAGGTCATGCTATGGAGCAGAAGAAACCTTAGTGATAGGCTGAACTCCCCTTAGGAGAGCTGGCTGCAATGCTGGCTGCCATGCTAATTAGACAGGAACTAGCGGTGGGAGGAATTTTATGAGCAGCCTGCTGTGGATAAAAGCCCCACCTACCTCTGACCTTCATAAAAGATGACAGTATATTTGCCAGTTAGGCTTCAGAAAAAAACTCAGATAAATAAGAATCATTACTAATTAAAGGTAGTCTAAGTGTATCATTTCTTTTATATCTTGTTTCAAATAAATTTTGTGTCCCCAGTATTTGGAACAGTGTCTGGCACATAAATAATCAACACATATCTGTAGATTGATTGAAAAAGAAATAAGTAAATGTTTTCTTCTTTCAATAACACATAAAATTAAACTATGAGTGTTTGCTCGGCATGTATAATGTTATATAAATGTGATGTTATTTACAAAGGGTAGACAGAGTAATTGTGTGCTTTGTAACTCCTTAGGTTACCTGCCAGTCCTAAAGGACAGCTAAGAGCCCTTTTCGCGATAACGCCAGCACCCCCTTGTGGAATCTATTGGAACTGCAGGTGTGGCCCTGCAGGACATCATCAATGTCCTTTGAGGACAAAGCTTCCAGACACAGACTATTTATTTGAATGTCGTCGTCGTTGTCATCCATGGTGACAAAAGCGGGATTTAAAGAGATAGGAGGAACAGAAGCCAAATGTGGAAGAGCTAAAGCTCACAGAACCAGGAGTTCTGTGACATAAAGCAAGGGTATCCTGAGGAAGGAATGATGCAGAATAAACATTTGTGTGTATGTATGTGTGACACTGCCTTAGATATTATGGCCTTGACAGCAGGAGACGGTTCCAACTTCTCTCAAGTGAGGCATCTTTGAGAGGTTATCAAGGAGGAAGTTGACATAGGTGGGCTCCTAATTTAGCTTGTATTGAAGACAGCCAAGCCACTCTAATAGATGTGCAGTGGTGTCTCATCATAATTTTAATTTTAATTTCCCTAATAGCTAATGATACATAATAGCTTTTCATGTGCTTATCTACTTTCTGTATATCCTCTTTGGTGAAGTGTCTATTCAAATCTTTTGCCCACTTTCAATTAGGTGGTTTGTTTTCTTACTGTTGACTTTTGAGAGTTCTTTAAAGAGTTTTGGATGCAAGTTCTTTGCCTGATATATGATTTGCAAACATTTTCTCCCAATCTGTGTCTATCTTTTCATTCTTGTAACAGAGTCTTTCTTAGAGCAAAAGCTTTTAATTTTGGTGAAGTTCAATTTATCCATGATTTTCCCTTTTACAGATTGTGCTTTTGGTGTCAAATCTAAGAACTCTTTACCTCAGGATTTCTCCTATGTCTTCTACCAAAAGTTTTACAGTTTTCTGTTTTACATTTAGATCTATGATCCATTTCAAGTTAATGTTTTCCAGCTTTATGGAGACATAATTGATAAATAAAAATTGTACATATTCAAGGTGTACAACATGTTGATTTGATATACGTATACCTTGTGCCTTGATTACCACAATCAAATTAATCCACATGTCCACCACCAACACACATAGTTACCCTTTGTGTATGCGCATGGGGGGTGAGGACACTTAAAATCTACTCTCTTATCACATTTCAAATAAATGATACAGTGTATTAACTATAATCACCATACTTTATATTATCACCAAATAATAAGTTATACGTTATCTTATAACTGGAACTTTGTACCCTTTGACCAATATCTCATTTCCCCTTTGCCTTAGGCCCTGGCAACCACCATTCTATGCTCTGCTTCTGTGAGTTCAACTTTTTCAGATTCCACCTATAAATGAGATCATACAGTATTTGTCTTTCTGTGTGTGGCTTATTTCACTTAACATAACATCCTCCATGTTCATCCGTGTTGTTATAAATGGCAGAATTTCCTTTTTTTTTTTTTTTGAGACACAGTCTGTCGCCCATCCTAGAGTGCCATAGAATCATCATAGCTCACAGCAACCTCAAACTCCAGGGCTCAAGCAATCCTGCTGCCTCAGCCTCCCGAGTAGCTGAGACTACAGGCATGCGCCACCATGCCTGGCTAATTTTTTCCATATATTTTCAGTTGTCAGCTAATTCCTTCCTATTTTTTTGAAACAGAGTCTCACTCTGTTGCCTGGGCTACAGTGCCTGCATCAGCCTAGCTCACAGCAACCTCAAACCCTGGGCTCAAGCGATCCCTGCCTCAGCCTCCCGAGTAGCTGGGACTACAGGCACGAGCCACCATGCACGGCTAATTTTTTCCATATATTTTTAGTTGTCAGCTAATTTCTTTTTATTTTTTTATTTTTTTGAAACAGAGTCTCACTCTGTTGCCTGGTCTAGAGTGCCATGGCATCAGCCTAGCTCACAGCAACCTCACACTCCTGGGCTCAAGCGATCCTCCTGCCTCAGCCTCCCGAGTAGTTGTAACTACAGGTGTGCACCACCATGCCTGGCTAATTTTTCCTATTTTTAGTAGAGACGGGGTCTCATTCTTGCTCAGGCTGGTCTCGAACTCCTGAGCTCAAGGGATACTCCCATCTCAGCCTCCCAGAGTGCTAGGATTACAGACGTGAGCCACCATACACAGCAAATTTCCTTCTTTTTATCTAGTATATAATACTTCTAGTGTGTGCGTAAATGTGTTGTATCCATTTTCTTTATTCATTCATCTAATCAGAATTTAGGATGCAACTGTAATCTAACTAAACATTTTCATGTACAATCATGCCATTTGAATTGATGAGAGGAGAGTCAGGGAAGAAAATTAAGATTTTGGGCAAGATTATAGTGGATTTGTAACATACATCAAAGTGGACGTGAAGAATCTTATGTGTTACTTTAAACAATAAAGACTTTAAATGGAGACAAAATATAATATTTCCCAATAATTTTAATATTCATATATGCATATTAGAATTCCATTATTCTTATCGGACATATTGTATGTGATGAGTTGGATTGTTTAGCCTATAAAGATATTGAGAGTAACGACCAGTGAAGCCGCCAAGTTGGCTCGACGTGACCAGGCCTATTCAATCCTAGCACTCCTGGAGGCGACGGCTGGGTCTAGCATACATACAAGATGGTTCTGGGTGTAGCCTTCGAAACCAGCCTGAGCGCGAGACGTTGGAAACCTCCACACTATTTCTATAACAGCCTGTAGAATACATTCCAACCAACGTTAATAGGATTCTCCTTTTCTCCACATGCTAATATTTATCCGTCCTCTACATCTTAATAAATATGTATTAATTTGAAATATCTTTTTTTTGAGAAGTAACCAACTAAAGCATATAGGGTCATTGCTCTGTAACAATTACACAGCCCGGAGCATGGATTGTGGGTTGCAGGTTGCTGTAGCCCCAGCTATCATCGGAACGTCCTGCGGCTAGCAGGCCTGCGAGAACCAGGCGCTTAAGGGTTCGCTCAAGTGAGCTTAGACTCTGCCCACGTATCTTCACACAGCTCACTCTCTATGCCATGGGCAATACACATAGGTGAGACTCTGTCTCAAAAGACAAAAAAACATAAAAGATAGCTTACCGAACGAACAACAGCTCACATTGATGCTCTGAATTGTCAAAAAATAATTGTGTTTTTATAGAATTGTTTACTTATACCAGTGCTATTCTCTATCAAATTTTCCTATTCATTTCCGATTTTTTCTCTTCTTAAACTAGGACACTTTACGTCTTTAATATGCACTTGAACTTCACTGGCCTCTCAACAGTCACAAACACATAACACACAAACAGAAGCTCCTGAGAGACCGCTCATGGCCTTCTCCTGTGCAAACATGCTGACACGGAATTCACACACAAGGGCCCATCCTTTATGGGTAGACATACTCCTCATCTTGATCTTTTGATAATAGCTATTCTACAGGATAATGGTGGTTGATTGTATTTCCCTTGATGAGCCAGTATGTTTAGGCATCTTTCTCATGTACTTGTTGGCTATTAGTATGTATTCCTTTCCGGCAAAGATGTAGGCACATTTGTGTGTATATGATCAGGTTCCCAATGAACCTACACTGACACATCATTATCCACCCAAAGTCCCAAGATTGCAAGGCTTACTCTTGGTGCTGTACATTCTATGGGTCTTGACAAATGTATGATGATAACAAGTGTCCACCTA